CAATGTTATAAGCAAAATTAAAAAAATCGGAAAAGGGAAATATACACATTTAATAGTAACCTAGTGCGGATCCAAAATATACAGAACGGATAATACACATCTTATTTTTTTCTTCCTGTACAAGACAACAAAAAGGATTTTAATACCTTTACAGCAAAAACGAGGGTACAAAGTTGTTATAAGAAAAAATTAAATCCAATGTTCTCAAGTAATAAAACCGCTTTCTTACAACTCCATTGTAGAAGCGAATTAGTGCATGGGAAAAGGAAATTAGAATTCAAAACCCTTTTAAATTAAAATAGACAATCAAATCAATACCTCTTGATTTTTCTACAGCTTTTATTTCAGATCATTTTGACACAGACACATGCTACTAGCAGGAGATAATTCCGTCATACTGGATATTTTCATTCAAAAGCCAGGTGTACCCCAATTTTTCACTTTTGTTTATAATATGGAAACCTTGCAATCCTTGCCAAAAAAGGAAGATTATCTGCATGCTTCAAATCAAAGCTTGAAAGTAATTATCATTATTGCGCTTTATTGAAATATTTAAAAGTATCTGAACATTCTAATTTTTTTTTCACGAATTTTTTTAAAGTCAAACATAATGATTACAACGTTATTCACATCCCCCTTCTCCTAATTTTAAGAGCGATGTCATGTGCCTGTTACATTCAAATATTGGAGTTTTAATAAGTGAGAATTTATGCATCATTGCGTACATTGCAGGCGCGTAGCATCGTTTTTGAAAGTGGGGGGGCCTGCCAGAGAATTTTTTTTGCTACTCACCTGATTAACTTAACAAGCCCCCCCCCCCCCCCAAAAAAACAGGAAAATTACAAGTTGCCCAAACTCGAAAATCCTATTTCGTGGGAGGGGGGGGGGGGGGGGGGTTAGTGGGCGGCCAACATTTTCAAAGCCAAGTTTCTTTCACTTCCAATTTTTTTCGTACATTTATACCTACATTGGTAACATTTATACTATGGTAATAAGTGGGGGGGGGGGCAACCATCCTCTCAATTAACATTTCCTATAGTAAAGGTAATGTTGGGGAAATAAGTGTGGGGCCAGGCCCCCCTGTTGCTACGCCCCTGCATTGTTGTCTGAACCGTTTCCCTCCATATAGGTATAAAGGGATCAATAAAATAAAAGTGACTTCTCTGTGATAAATTGGTTCATCATAAGGTCACTTAAAACATGAAAAGGCACCTCAGTGTGGATATAACTCGATCGCTAAAAAAAAGAAAATAAAATAAGTGCATGCAATTGAAACCGAAATTCATAATGATTTCTATATAATCCGTGAACATATAAATATTTCGACAAACTCAATATCAGCTACTTTGATGAAACAATTATAACCTGAATTAGATTGCTGATTGCGTATACAATTTAGGTTTCTAATTTTAGGTGGGATAAAGTTGTCATTATTAATTATTCCTAAGTTTGTATTAGTTTGGTTTTAAGAATAATATATCCTCTACAATTTAAATAATAAAGCGGTTATTTTAAGTTCAGATCAGCACAGTGACAAAAATAATAAAATAGCGACACAATGACTTCAGTTTATTTCCTGAATTATTCATATTACTGCGTAGCTCAGTCAGTTAAGGTCTCGTCCACAAACCCGAAGGTACCTGGATCGAGCCCTGCCTGCGGCGAATAGCACCCTTCATGAAAATCTTTTTCACCCAACTGTGTTTAAAGGCAATACAATACCTATATAAATGTGCTTCGGCGTAGCTCAGTCAGTATAAAAAAAATATTAATCTCGTCTACAAGTCCAGAGAGTCGCTGGTTCGAGGCTCGGACGCGGCGCATTAGTTTACAATATACTTATTTCAATCCACTCTTCCTACTTTGACCATCAATTCGACCATTAAGAAGCTTGCCAGTGGACGACTGCCGATTACTAGCTACCACCATAGAGTGCCTTCTAGCCTGCAGTGAGGGGACACAACAGGGGACACAAAGGTAAAAACTGCTCAATACTGCTAACGTAGGTATATCCCACATGCCAAACCTTACTGTAAGAGGGAGCATGACAAGCAAGACAATTGGAGGACAATTAAACCCGACCGCGACCCGGGTAAAGCAGTGTGGTCGCTAACAAGCATTGCATGACAATTAAACCCGACCGCGACCCGGGTAAAGCAGTGTGGTCGCTAACAAGTAAAGCAAGACAATTAAACCCGACCGCGACCCGGGTAAAGCAGTGTGGTCGCTAACAAGCATTGCAGGACAATTAAACCCGACCGCGACCCGGGTAAAGCAGTGTGGTCGCTAACAAGCATAGCAAGACAATTGGAGGACAATTAAACCCGACCGCGACCCGGGTAAAGCAGTGTGGTCGCTAACAAGCAAAGCAAGAAAATTAAACCCGACCGCGACCCGGGTAAAGCAGTGTGGTCGCTAACATAGCAATAAATTGGAGGACAAATTAAACCCGACCGCGACCCGGGTAAAGCAGTGTGGTCGCGACCCGGGTAAAGCAGTGTGGTCGCAATTGCAGGACAAATAAACCCGACCGCGACCCGGGTAAAGCAGTGTGGTCGCTAACAAGAATTGCAGGACAAATAAACCCGACCGCGACCCGGGTAAAGCAGTGTGGTCGCTAATATAAATTGCAGGACAAATAAACCCGACCGCGACCCGGGTAAAGCAGTGTGGTCGCTAATATAAATTGCAGGACAAATAAACCCGACCGCGACCCGGGTAAAGCAGTGTGGTCGCTAATATAAATTGCTTGACAAATAAACCCGACCGCGACCCGGGTAAAGCAGTGTGGTCGCTAATATAAATTGCAGGACAAATAAACCCGACCGCGACCCGGGTAAAGCAGTGTGGTCGCTAACAAGAATTGCAGGACAAATAAACCCGACCGCGACCCGGGTAAAGCAGTGTGGTCGCTAACAAGTAAAGCAAGACAATTAAACCCGACCGCGACCCGGGTAAAGCAGTGTGGTCGCAAATATTCATTGAAGCAAAAATGAGCCCGACCGCGACCTGGGCATACTTATGGTCGCTGATTACTATTGCAATTTACTTGCCCTAAAAGGTCTAGTGATGCAAATGTCGTGGTTTTCGGGACCATATTCAAAACCCGATTATTTTGGGAACCCGGTTATAATTATATATTGGGAATTGTTTGTAATGTAATTTATTTTGCTTGCATTTTATTGTAGTAAATCACAAATGAGTCCGACTGCGACTCGGACTAGCTGTGATAGTCCCCGTTATCTTTTGCTTTTTACATGACTTGAAGGTCTAGTGATGTAAATATCTTCATTTTCCGAACATTGTTCAAAAAGACATTATACTGGTATTGTTCTCTATTATACCATACCTCAATTGTATTTGTTCCAATGCTTTCGAGTCATTTGTATATATTGTAATGAAAGATACTGTTTTTTTTCTTCAATTTTAATGTATTGAGATGAAGTATTAGTGGATAACATGTATATAATATTTTTCATAGACATTTTGTTGTAACAGTCACCGTGGAATCTAATTATGGCACCATTTAAGTCATGTGTAATAAAAATTTTAATTTAATCTTAACATGTTAAAACCGTTTTAATACAAAGTATATTGTTCTTGAAATATTTCAAAAATTACACATGGCTTAAATATATGGCTGGCGTCCCCGTCGCGGTGCTGGGCGTCACACCTTCACACCAATTCCTTTAAACAGAAGAAAGTCTTTCATTTTAAATACTTCCAGCATCATTTGTATGCGCAAATCATTTTTTCCCTGGTTTAAAAGTGTGAATGTGTGATGGCAAATAGCCAATTTGTCCCGGTGGACTGGAAAAAAAAATTTGCACTATTTGTGAGAATACAACGCAAAAGGTATTTTAATACGAAATACAGTCCTATTTTGTCAAAAGGTTATAATAGTTAACTTGTAAACCGAGGAGGGGGAATATAAATTAAGGGGGAAAAAACGAAGAAAAAAAAATTGGTATGTATGCGTATTAAAATACCTTAAGAATATATTTCTACGCAGTATTGTTAAAATAACTTCTTTTCCAGATAATGGATTCAATCGATGGAACATTGCTGCAAGTGTTGGGGTTGAGTTTTAAGGTCCAACAAAGCAAATCGATGTCCAAAGAGCAAGTACAAATGTTCAACACTCTTACAAATAAACTAAGCGAAGAGGTTTCAAATATAAAGAAAGAGTTTGAAGCGATGGAAAAAAGAACAGTCGACTCCAAAAAGGAAGAAGCGACGTTAAAACGAAAATTTCAAGCATTAAAGAAGGAAGTCGAAGCACTCAAAATAAAAAATCAGAAATTAGAAAAAACGACGACGGAACTGAAGGCAAAATGTACAGATCTAGAAAAAGACCTTGATTCTAGCTGGGTTGAAGATATAGAACTGGATACAGGTGCCAATGAAGAAGGAAAGCAAAATGAAAAAGGAGAGGCGAGAAATGAGGAGAATACCGCAAAAACCAAAGAATAGGAGAGAAAACTGAACACAGAGAAAAAACAGAGAAAAAACTTTAACGACTATAATAGAGCTTATTTGTTTTGCATTTGTGATTTTGTTTAACATCAATGCGTGAATATGTACTCATAGTTTTAAAGCAATTATGTTATAGTTGTGTATAGAGCAATTAATGTATGTTATGTACAAATACATATGTTAAAAAAATCCTTTTGTGTAATGCTTAATACATCACCCGAAGAGGTCAATTTTTTACTAGGTCTTATTAATAATTTTTCTTCATAAAAACTTTATTTTCTATCGAACTTTTGTATAATAGAAAATACAATAAATGATTGTTTTATTGTATGTTGAAAGAGCTTTTCTAAAGTCCCTGGGTATCTCCTTAAATTGAAAGATGTTAACTTTCATTAATCTTTATCAAGATTTCAGAAGAGCTCTTAAAGAGACACTTAATAACTGTAAAAGTGTCTCCAAAAAAATATAGATTTACAATAAATATCTTTTTTCAGATGGACCCGTCTTAGTGTAAGGATTAACCAATGTCCAAAAGGAAACGAACATTTAGTGGTCGAGAGAAAAAAGCCAAAGAAAGATATAGGAAAAGGAGAAAACGGGAGGAAAAACCACGAACTCTTACGTATAGTCCAATTACTAAATCATGGGCTGCTCAAAAAAGAGAGGAACAAAAATTGACTTTACAAAATGATCATCATCTTTATGATAATACGTCTTCTACAAAGCTAGGACACCCCTCTAAGCTTCAACCAACTTCTCCGAATGGTAACTGTTTCTTCAATGCACTATCATTTATCCTAACTGGAACAGAGAAGTTTCACAGCCAAATAAGGGCAAATGTGTGTGATTTTATTTCTACTCACTCTGCAGACTTGCAAGAATTTTTACCAAACACCTGTCAAGGAGATGGAAAAAAATATTTAAATGATTCATCAATGAGAGTGATAGGTACTTGGGCGTCAGAGACAGAAATTTTTGCAGCTGCTTACATGTTAAATACAGAAATTTACGTCTATACCAAATATGGATGGCAATGGAAATGGTTACGACACAGCCCACCTGAACCTGCAAACACTTTGGGTATTTACTTGTATCATCATAATTTGAATCATTACGAAGTCGTTCTCGAAGTCGCTAAACAAAATTCAAAGAATCTGAAAAACCAAGAACGTTATTTTTCAAATAGGGAAAATGAAAGGAATCGCAAAAGAACAAAGTATGCTAGTGACTCTTCTGCGCGTGAAGCAAAGAAACTTAAAATGAAAGTTAAATACCATAGTGATGTTAAAAGCAGAGAATATATCAGGAAGACAAACAATGAAAGACAAAAGAAGAAGTACAACTCTAACACTGCGTTTAGACGTAAACAAAAACAACGTGTGAAGCACCATTATGAAACATCAAGCACATATAGAAACCTTAAACTCATGTTATCACGAATGAGATACCTGTCAAACGCAGTGTTTAGGCAATCAATTCAAAAAATTGCAAGAAAACGGTACATTGAGGACTATACCTATCAGAACAAAATGAAAACTGCATCTAAAAAGAAGTACAAGACCAATACAGGCTTTCGCCAAAGTGTGAAAGAGTCATCCAAGAAGAAGTACAAGACCAATCCAGGCTTTCGTCAAAGTGTTAAACACTCGTCTAAGAAAAAGTACAAGACCAATCCAGACTTTCGTCAAAGTGTTAAACAGTCGTCTAAGAAGAAGTACAAGACCAATCCAGACTTTCGTCAAAGTGTTAAACAGTCGTCTAAGAAAAAGTACAAAGCCAATCCAGACTTTCGTCAAAGTGTTAAAGAGTCGTCTAAAAATGTGAAAAACTATTCTAAACAAAAATACAATGAAGACAAAGACTTTAAGCAGCATGTGAAGTCATACTCCAAAATGAAATATAAAGTAAACGCAGATTTCAGACAATGTGTCAGAGCTTCGTCCTTGAAAAGATACGCATCAAGACCATTATTTCGATACAAGCTGAAGAAGTATCTCTCTCATCAATATCACAGCGATAGGAGTATAAAACGTAAGAAAAAAGAAACTGTCCGACTAAGAAGAAAATCCTTAGACAAAGCCTTGCAGACATTTCTGAGAAATATAGGAAAAACTCCGAAATACACCTGTACAGTATGTGCACGAATATTGTTTAAAGAACAAGTTAAGTTGTGCAATAAATCTAAATATATAGAAAGCAAATATGCAGAAAATGCTAAGAAATGTTTGATAGGAAACTTTGTGTGCGACTCGAAAGAATGGATATGCATAACCTGTGACAAACATTTGAGCTGTGGCAACATGCCCCCTCAAGCTCTTGCCAATGGATTGCATCTCAATCCAATGCCGGAGGAACTGAGTAGCCTGAACAGTCTAGAAAGGCAACTAGTCGCACTTCGTATTCCATTCATGAAAATTTTATCACTACCCCGTGGTGGACAACGGGGTGTGAAAGGCCAAGTTGTGAATGTACCTTCCAATATTAACAGTGTAACGTCTTCACTCCCTAGAAGCATAGAAGGTGCCCAGATGATTAAAGTGAAACTGAAACGAAAACTATCATACAAAGGATATCAACAGTATGAGTGGATACGTCCTACAAAAGTCATAGAGGCTGTCAAATACCTTGTGGAAAATAACTGTTGGTACTCTCAAATTACCTTAAACGACAATTGGTTTGACACAAACAATGATTCGGACTTAGTACGGGAGGAGAATATGCAAGAGAGCTCAGATGATGAAAACCCTCACGATACACAAAGTGCAGACTCAGAAAGTGCAGAAAGTGATTCACAAGATAAAGATGCACAAATTCATCCAATAGAAACGTGCTCAGAACCTCTTGATCTAGGACAGGAATTTCTTGACACAGATAACAAAATTTTCTGTGTAGCACCTGGTGAAGGGCAAACGCCACAAAGTATTTTTCAAGAAAAGGGGGCAGAGGCAATGGCATTTCCAGCCCTTCTTCCAAATGGAAAATACGGGTTTTCAGAAGAAAGAAAAATAAAACTTTCACCCTCAAAATACTTTAACTCACGCCTGTTTTGTGCTGACACACGTTTTGCAAAAGACAATAAATTTATTTTCTTCGCACAGTTTATGATAGAGATGAGTAACATAAAATCAAACTTATCTATTGCTCTGCGAAAAGGAAAGGCAAAAACAGATGATGGGAAAAAAATAACAGCCTCAATGCTTACTAATTCAGAAAACTTACAACAGATATTAAAGACAGACGCTGGATTTCGCTTTCTACAACCCGTAAGAGGCTCGCCACCATACTGGCAAAGGACCATGAAGGATCTATATGCAATGATTCGTCAACTAGGAATACCAACATGGTTTGTGACTTTCTCTGCAGGTGAAACGCGTTGGGAAGAGACAATTGATGCACTTAAGAACAAAAATGATATTCGACCTATACAAGATATTGAATGGACAGAGAAATGTCAACTTATTAGAGAAAATCCAGTTATGTGTGCAAGACTATTTAATCATCGGGTACAAAGACTTTTTACCGATCTCATCATGTCTCCTGCGCAACCAGTTGGAGAAGTCACTGACTTTTTCTATAGAACAGAGTTCCAACAGCGTGGTTCCCCACACATACACTGTTTGTTGTGGGTAAAGAACGCTCCAAGACTAGGCAAAAACACAGACAAAGAAATTTGCTCGTTTGTCGATAAATACATCACCTGTTCTCTGCCTGATCCTGAAAAAGATCCCGATCTTAATGACATTGTAAAAGCAGTTCAAATGCACAATAAATCACATACAAAGTCATGTAAGAAACATTCTACAACATGCAGATTCAACTTCCCAAGACCTCCCATTTTGGAGAGTTTTATCGCAAAAGTGCCTGACGACAAAGATACAACAAAATTTAAAGAGGGAGGATCAGATATGCCAACTATAGAGGAAATAAACAAAATGTGCAAAGCAGCAAATCAAAGATCACCAAAACAAATAGTAAAAGATGTATGGAGTATCATTAGCTCTACAGAGAATGTAGAAGAATCAACAATAGATAACATCCTACAGTCATGCAACGTCTCCTACTCAGCATTTGTAGACAGTTTGAAAACTATCACCAAAAGAAACTGCATATATCACAAAAGAGGTCTATCTGACACTTGGGTAAATAATTACAATCAAACCCTACTCAGAGCCTGGAACGCCAACATGGATATACAATATATTATGGACCCGTACTCATGCGTAGCTTACATTCTATCTTACATCAGCAAAGCAGAAGCAGAAATCGGAGAACTGCTAGCAGATGCACAAAAAGAAGCTAGGGAGGGAAATAAAGACGCAGCTTCGGCAATGAAACAAATATCACACGTTTATATACAAAACAGAGAGGTGTCGGCCCAAGAAGCAGTATACAGAATTTGCAGTATGCATCTGAAAGAATGTTCAAGACAGGTTCTTTTTATCCCTACAGGAAATGATGCTTTTAGAATGAGTCTTCCTTTGAGTGCTCTTCATTCAAAAGAAGGAAGCAGCGAGGATATATGGATGCCATCTATCATGGATAAGTATTACTCTCGCCCTGATACAGAAGACTTTGATGACCAATGTCTAGCAGAGTTCTGTTCCAACTATTGCTTCTATCCAAAATCAAGACCTCCAAAGGCATCCAAAAAGAATAAAGACATTTCCTCAATTCATGAACTCCAGAAAGGATTAGGATATATTAAAAGAAGAATGGAGGGAAAAGAGGCTATTATTCGGTACCCAAGATTCAATCGTCTTAAAAATCCAAACGACTTCTACTTGTCTCTGTTACAACTATACTTGCCTCACAGAAGACCAATAGACTTAGCGTCTAAAGACTTAGAAGAATATATTCAGCATGCAAAAGTTGGGGACAAAAATGTATTAGATATTGTTAATCAAAACAGAGGTCTCTTCGAGAAAGATGTACAGGACCTGGAACGAGCTTGGGAAGATGTTCAAGAGGGCCGTATTGGAGAAGATGCCTGGTCAGCAGTTGCCCCAGAGTGTGAGGCAGAGAGACTGAACATTCAAGAGGAAAACAAGCAGCTTACTCAAGAAAAAGAGAACGAAGAAGAAATTTCACCTGATATTGAACTTTTGGCATCTTCAGAAAAAGAGAAAAGTATGACTAAATGTGTTACACAATATCAGAGGCCAAAACTCTCCCAAAAAGAAATCCAAGATTCGCTGAGAAACATGAACGAAAAGCAACAAAGAATATTCTATCAAGTTAGAGAATGGGTTCTAAAAGTTTCATGGAATCAGCATCCCGAGCCTCTACATGTATTTGTAACTGGAGGTGCTGGCACAGGAAAATCACATCTTATTAAATGTATTTACCATGAGACAAACAGAATTCTATCTAAAACAGTAGAAAACCCCGATTCAGCGACAACTCTTATAGCAGCTCCAACAGGTACAGCTGCTTTCAACATTGGGGGCATGACTCTCCATTCGGCATTTGGTATCAGCAAGAACATTAAACTTCCTTATACACCTTTGGGAGAAAATATTTTAAACACATTAAGAGCAAAGTATGAAAATTTGAAACTCATCATTATTGATGAAATATCAATGGTGGACCATAAACTTCTCACCTATGTCCACGGCAGATTAACTCAAATTAAGCAGTCAAAGAAAGTTTTTGGGAATGTTGCAGTATTGGCCTTTGGAGATTTCTACCAACTGCCACCAGTGAAAGCATCACCACTCTATAAAGTTAAGGAGTCTGTTATGGTGGATCTTTGGAACCCCTTGTTCTCTAAAGCTACGTTGACTGAGATTATGCGCCAGAAAGACGATGCTAAATTTGCAGAGATGTTGAATCGTTTACGAATTCGAGGTCGAGGAGAACCGTTACTTCAACAAGATATTGAAATGCTGCAATCTGTATCATGTGATTTGGCACCTAAGAATATGCAAGATGCTCTTCACATTTATTCTCTGAATAAAGATGTTGCAACGCATAATGAGGCTATGGTCGATGCAATTTGTCATCCTTGTATTTTATCCACAGCAAAGGACTATACAAGGAGTAGTGTAACTGGAAACTTGGTCTTAAGGTACCAACCTTACAGCTCCTCATCACAAGAAGACCTCCCAGAAGTACTAAAATTAGGACTGAATGCAAGGGTGATGTTAACTCGAAATATCGACACCGAAGACGGTCTTGTGAATGGCGCATTTGGAACTATTACTGCTATAGACCAACCTCAGGAAAATAATGTTAGAGCTGTTTACGTTAAATTTGACAACAACACAATAGGAAGAAAAGCAAAATCCAAAGCAGTCTCAGACATACCAGGATCAGAAGGTGCAGTCAGAATCACACTATTTGAAGATTCTCTTGCTGGTAAAAATGCAGTTAGAAGGCAATTTCCTCTCAAGCTTGGCTGGGCTGCAACAATACACAAAGTACAAGGAATGACTTCCAATCGTGTAATTGTTTCACTTAACAGAGTATTTCAGCCTGGCATGGCATATGTTGCACTAAGCAGAGCAACTGCCCTTGAAGGATTACGCATAATAAACTTTGATATGAATAGCATATTTGCCTCTGAAGATATCAAAAAAGCTTTGGAAAATATGCCAGACTTTCTCCCCCCGAACGATCCAAACATTGAAAGTAACTCGTTAAAGATAGCTTTACACAATACAGAAGGCCTTATTATCCACAAAAGGGACATTGAAAGCGCACAGATTCTTAATGATGCACACGTGATATGTTTCACCGAAACCTGGTTGAAAAAAGATGACTATATCCCAAAATCAATCTTACCAAACTCGATGGTATATTCAATGCCTCGAAAAGAAGCCTACTCTTCTGCTGACCAGACATTTCGACAATTTGCGACAATGGAAAGAGGAGGTGTTGCAATATTTACAAGAGACGTGGAAAGTACATTATACGATACCCGTACTGCAAATTTGGAGTGCGTAGCGGTAATGATAAAGAAACCAATCAGTGTAGCAGTGCTGGTTATCTACCGCCCTCCAATATACTCTTTAACCAAATTTAAAGAGCGCCTAGAGAGTCTTCTTCTCCGGATCGCTGCAGACATATCTTCACCAGTTATCATTCTTGGGGATTTTAATGATAACGCGCTCAACACAGCACCGTGTTTGCAGGAAATATTTACCAAATATGGTTACCAACAGCTTGTAAAATCACCAACAACAGAGTCTGGGACATGCCTCGATCTGGCTCTAGTAAAAGGTTTTGATGAGCTTCCAAGAGTGACTGTGAAACCCATTTATTATAGTTTTCACGATGTTATCTACATTGAATGTAAAACATAATCACTTTGACTGAATATGCATTTGAGTGAACGATATAAATTAATGTACATTGTAAATTAAATCTAAAACAATTGTCCATTGCAATGCTGTAAATATGTTGTTTTTTTTTCATTTTGATAAATTTAAGTCAAGTCGTAAAGATGATGTCTCTAATATTCTATTGTAAATCGATATAAACATGCTATGTGTATAATTTATTCACAATCAATCCTATCATGTCCATTTAACCGAATGTTGAGAAAGACTAACATGTGTAGGTGTATATTTTAATGTACTTGTATATATTATTGTAAAAAAAAAAAGAAAAAAAGAAAAAAAAAAAAAAAAAAAAAAAAAAAAAAGAAAAAAAAAAAAAAACACTGTCGTCGTCTGCCAGGCGACCTGACGAGCCCTTACAGGGCGAAACAGTGTTCTTAGCATCTCCACTCTATCAAATATCTCCAACTCGATTTTGTCTTCAAATAAGAAAAAAGATTCAACCACACTTTGAATACTTTCTGAGGAAATAATTAAATTTTAGGTGCAAGCTACAAAAAAATTAATTAGGAAAATACATGGCTCTCATCCGGTACGCCGAGATGAGGGCTTTTTTTTTTATTTATTATACCCCCGCTAGAAAAGTGCGAGGATATATAGAAATCGAAATGTCCATTCGTCTGTTACGCTTTCGGGTACCCATCTCTTTTCTGCAACTCCTCTTTACAGTTACCACTGAATGGATATCTTAAACAAAAATGAGACTTTCACAAAATCTTTGTTATATAGTGTAATTGTGCACCTCATATTTTACTTTTTGATCGGACACATATTTTGAATTTTCTACAGCAAAACATTGACACTGCCTTTTTCTATAACATGGATGGTTACTCATCTCTTATCCGCAACTCCTCCTACACCACTGAATAAAATTTTATGATAATTTCACAGATTCTTTATTACATAATGCCGTTGTGCACCTCCTATTATACTTAATAATCCGACACTTATTTCGGGTCTTCAAGAGCAAAACAGGGACTTTGTCATTAAAAATGGCTCTCACACGGTACGCCGGAGTGGGGGCTTTTTTTATTTATTCGAAATAGCTCTCACCCGGTACGCCGGAGTGGGGGCTTTTTTTATTTATTCAAAATAGCTCTCACCCGGTACGCCGGAGTGGGGGCTTTTTTTATTTATTCAAAATAGCTCTCACCCGGTACGCCGGAGTGGGTTTTTTTTTTTTTTATTTATTCGAAATAGCTCTCACCCGGTACGCCGGAGTGGGGGCTTTTTTTATTTATTCAAAATAGCTCTCACCCGGTACGCCGGAGTGGGGGCTTTTTTTTTTATCTATTCAAAATAGCTCTCACCCGGTACGCCGGAGTGGGGGCTTTTTTTATTTATTCAAAATAGCTCTCACCCGGTACGCCGGAGTGGGGGCCTTTTTTATTATTATCAAAATGATTCTCTACCGGTACGTCGGAGTGGGGGTCATTTTTATTTATTTAAAATGGCTCTCATCTGGTACACTGGAGATACACTGTACAATAGATGGAATGTCTTAAAATGCAAACATTCTTCATTGCCTTATCTAATAAACCGCACAAGAAATAGGACACCAAAATGGTCATGCATTGGGATATCCTACAAAATGATGTAGAAAAAAAATATCATGAAATCACGCGCATGCACGTGAGCTGCAATTTGATTGGCTGAAACTTTAAATTGCTATTTCTCCTTTGTTTTTTTGACGAAATTCTTTGAAATTTAAAATATAGTCATGCATTAGGATATCCTACAAAATGATATTAAAAAAATCATGAAATTACGCGCATGCACGTGTGCTGCAATCTGATTGGCTGAAACTTTAAATGGCTATAACTCCCTTGTTTTTCAACCAAACAGGATGGGATTTAGAACATAGATAGATGTAAGGGACTCCTACAAAAAGGTATGATCATCATGCACGTGCACGCACGTGCGTGCATTTGAAACGAGTATATTTTAAAATACTCTTGAAAGACAAGATGATATGGTCATAACGCACATGCATTCACATGCGCTTGGGTGCAATGCTAAAAATTGAATATAATTAGTATCCTTCTAGAAAAACGTTGTTAAAGTCAAAAATGCACAGAGTTTGTCTTATTTAATGAAACTTACAGGGAATATGGCACCGAAAGGGAGTTGGGGAGCGTTTGGGGAACATCTGTAACGGTTCCCGTTACAATTAGCACTAGTTTCTTTTTTTTTTAAACAAAATTTAATACCTGTCCAGTAACAGAAGAATTATTATACTAGAATAAAGAAAACAACTTTCTAAAGGATTGTATACATACACATTAAATTAGCTTGAAATCGGTGTACTAGTATATTGGAAAGTGCAGGAATTATTTACCATTGCAGGTTGAGAAGGGATGCCATATTTTAGGTTTGAAACCAGGCAAGTGAAAGCTGAATTCCAACCTACTTCAACATACTTGTACCCACTGTCTTCAAGATATCAGTGTTTGAGACGTCAAAGTTCAAATATAATAGGAACATGTTTATCATATTATGTGATGGCATCCTCAAATCTTATGTTGTATAACAATATGTTTTAGAACTTATCAAGCTTTATTCTGTACCTTGCCAAAAAAAAAACTCAACTCAGCATAATTCTCATTAACTAATTATCATTGTTACTTGCGTATGTCAATGTAGGTCATTACTGGTACATGCCTGACCAACTAAAACTCTAAAATTGAAAAATCAGAGTCAAGATTTTCAGAGCAGCAGAAACAGTAGAATTTGTCATGTAAATCTAATGATATGTACCGTAGCTGAGAATAAATGTACTCTAAATGTTGCATATATAAAAAAGAAAAAAGCAAAAAGTTCTCTTGTTTTCAGAATTTATATTTACATGTGAAAAAAAGAAAAGGAGGTTGATATAGTTGGTGTGATGAGATGTTGGCAGGAACCTAGTAAAATAAAAGGAAGAACTTCCTTAAAATGATACTTGTAGGGGAGAGTGTCTCATGGGGGGATTGTTTCAACTGACTTTACAGAATACAAAAGATCCATTGCATACCTAATTATCAATTATATGCCAAACACTATGTTTAAAGTTTTCCATTGTTGGATATTTATGTTTAAATCCAAGATAACTTACCCAAGAGGATGTGATTTTTTTTTAACCAATGTAATTTTTCTCAAGTTTAAAGCAGTGTTTCATAAGTTTTAATGAAAAAATCAGAAGGGGGAGGGGGTAAATTTTTGACTTCATTCAAAGTATCTGTGGTTTGCAGTTGCCCATGAATTTAATAAATAATTATACAAAGCAACAAGTTGAAATGAGTAAAATATTATGAATGTCCTGCATGTTTTAGTTTCATTTCAGAATTTTTCAAGTTTGACCAAATCTTGAAAAAGTAAAAGCCACAAGGTTTTGCAATTATTTGACATAGCATTACAAAATGCAATATAATTTTGCAACATCATAAAGATGCAAATTTAAGATGCCAAAAAATTTAGTTCACATTTACATTTAACTCATTACACATGTTTTATAAAAGAGTAAATAAGTGTAGTTTGGGAATATTGTTATGTTAAACGCAGCCATTTTGGTTAAAAATCTGGTATTCCTGTCTCCATGGTAAAAAATTTTGCATTCCTGTTTCCATAGTAATAAAGAATGGATAGGGAAAATTTTATTTCATATTAGTTTCAATCTAAGGAGATAGTTTCAGGAAACTTGAAACATGCCCTGGTTAGTCTACATGTACTTCAAAATTGTCAATTTTACGGAAAGGGGGGGGGGCATTTTGTGCAGGTGTTCACAGTTCTCCTATCTAAGAACATATTTACATGTATTAATGCTCTTGGAAATGGGATGTGAATATTTTTACATGACACTTCACCTAGATATGGACTAATTTTACTGTAAATGACATCAAAACAGGTAGAAAGGAACATTTCTTTTCTATATGAACTTAATTAAATGTGCATATGTTCCTTGAAATACGGAAATTTTGCAGATTTTGGGTAATTTTTCATTAGCTTTTTTAAAAAAAAATTTTTAAGTGTCCCATAAATATTTTAATGTGTTTAAACTAACTTATGTACCATCTATACAATGCACTGTTTCCTGAATTTCTAATCAGTGTGCAAAGTATTAAAAAATCGCTTAGAAAAAGGGTCTAAAATGGCAATTTTCTCAATTTGGCAAAAATCCAAAATCCCCAAAGCTAAGCGTTGTTAAGCCATTATGTAGAATAACAGTTTTTAAAAAATTATGTTGTTATACTAGAGAGGAATAATGGTAGTTTTGAAACAAAAGTAGATTTTCCCATTCTCTTGTTTCTTTTAAGCTCATTTTTAGCTCTACTGGTCAGAGACCAGAAGAGCTTATACGATAGTAAAGTGTCCGTCGTCCGTCCGTCTGTCTGTCTGTCTGTCTGTAAACAATTTTTCAAAACGCTACTCCTCCTACAGTTTTGGTTTGATTTTAATATAACTTTGCACACAAGTAGACTACACTAAGATACATAAAATTGTGCATCGGTTTTTGATTTCGATGAACGGTGTTGCCATGGTTACTAAAAATAGAATTTTCTGTGAATTCCTTTAAAACGCTACTTCTTCTACAGTTTTGGTCTAATTTCATTATAACTTGGCACACTAGTAGACTACACTAAGATACATAAAATCGTGCATCGGTTTTTGATTTCGATGAACGGTGTTGCCATGGTTACTAAAAATAGAATTTTCTGTGAATTCCTTTAAAACGCTACTTCTACAGTTTTGGTCTAATTTCATTATAACTTGGCACACAAGTAGACTACACTAAGATACATAAAATAGTGCATCGGTTTTTGATTTCGATGAACGGTGTTGCCATGGTTACTAAAAATAGAATTTTTTGTGAATTCCTTTAAAACGCTACTTCTATAGTTTTGGTCTAATTTCATTATAACTTGGCACACAAGTAGACTACACCAAGATGCATAAAATAGTGCATCGGATTTTGATTTTGATGAACG